GTTCTGAAGGCAAAAGGGGGTCCAACCCGTTACTAGAGTGGTGTACCTAATAAAGTGGCCGGTGAGTGTATATATCTAGTTCATTTAAAAGACACAGAGAGGGTTGATTTATTCTCCCACCTGAATGAAAAATCATCATTTTGTATTTCATCAAACAATCCTGTTATTTTGTGTTATTTTTGCTTCCAGCTCTGTTTTACATGATTTGTTTGCATATTTTTAAAAAAGCAGTTTCATTATTAGTAATTTATATAACATAAAACCTTAAAATATTCTGGCAGACATGTTCTGTTGGCAGTTTGTCTCGACCCATTTCCATACAATAACAGCTGAAACTTTTTAATATGACCAGAATAAAAAGCCCTGCAGCATTTTTATGACAACTTATTCCTTTTTATTTCCTTTTTTTTTTTTTTTTTTTGCTCCAGTTGCTGCATGAACGGCTCCAGATCGGTACCTGACATTGCACCATTGCACGCCCCCCGTAGTGAGCGTGAACACACTGATCTGCAGCTGCTGGACGTGCACGGCCAGGATGTGAGCGCACGGCAGGGTGGGCCTCACTCTCCCATGCCCCCCCCCCAGGCAGAGGTCTTCAGAAAGTCCTGAGGGTTCAGAGGAGTCCACGGTTTGTCCTCCTGTTGAAGTCTAACATCAGCTAAAGAAATCCATCTTACTTCCATTAATTAAAGTATTTTCAGGTAAAAMCAGAATATTTCTGGGTGTTGGTGTGTTTTTAATGACTTCTTCTTTAAGCCCACTCTGCTCCTCACAGCTCTCACTTCATTTTATCTGAATTCATTAATGTTCATTTCTCATTTGTGAAACTAATTAAAACCATCTGAGCTGGATCAGAGTCAAAAGACTCTCAGCTGGAGGCACCTGGCTTATTACACAAACTCACCATGTGTCAGGAGGGACTCTTCCAGACCTGCCAGGACCATCCAGGACCATCCAGGACCTTCCAGGACCTTCCAGGACCACCCAGGACCATCCAGGACCTTCCAGGACCACCCAGGACCATCCAGGACCATCCAGGACCATCCAGGACCATCCAGGACCATCCAGGACCATCCAGGACCATCCAGGACCACCCAGGACCACCCAGGACCTGCATGGCCGAGGCTAAGTTCCTCATCTGGTCACAGAACTTCCTGATCCACAGAAACCTGCTGAGTAAGCACACCTGTGTCTGCAGCCAAGAGAGAASAGAAACAAAAACTGATTCAGGTTTAGATCTTAGACCTCAACARGTACTGCTTTAAACAGAGACTCAAGATCCTGGTACTTCAGGTCCACCTACTAGATCCCAGTCCATCAGGTCTTTTCAGGTCCATCTACCCTGGACTTTCTGTCCCCTCTTCGTCTGCAGTTCCTTCAGGTTGGTCCTGCTCGTCTTCATCAGTCTTTAAATCAGACCAGAAGGTCTCAGCTGGACTGAGCTCACCTGGTTACTGATCTGGTTACTGACCTGGTTAATGACCTGGTTACTGACCTGGTTACTGACCTGGTTACTGACCTGGTTACTGACCTGGTTACTGACCAGGTTACTGACCTGGTTACTGACCTGGTTACTGACCTGGTTACTGACCTGGTTACTGACCTGATTACTGACCTGATTACTGACCTGGTTACTGACCCGGTTACTGACCTGATTACTGACCTGATTACTGACCTGGTTACTGATCCGGTTACTGACCTGGTT